GAGGCCCCGAGCTTAAAGCCGGATTTGCATAATTTGCCGCCTCTGCTGGCCGTGATTCCTGCCCGATTGATTGCAACGCTGTCTTCAGCACTTGCCACGCGACGCCAGTCTGCCGCAGCTCTTCCTCTTTGTCGCTTCCTCTGGCTGCCTGCCTGCCTCTCTCTCTCTCTTTCGCTCTTATACACAGTCTGTCTATCTATTTGCATGCCACAGCAAAGGCTACTTTCAACATGGGGCAGCAACACTGCCACACGTGGACTCATATTAAAAATCGAATTGCAATTCCCATTCCCACCAGATGCATATCAAAATACACCGAGCGAAGCGCTTCTCTTTAAGTGCACCAAAACTTTTAGCTCGAAATGGCTGCATGTTTAAATGTTAAAGAAATAGATATAGAAGAGATCTACGATTGCACCATTAATCGATTTGAATTATCGATATATATCGATCGATACACATCGGCACAATGTGCACATAAATATAATAGTTGCTAGAAATTTGACAAACAATGCTGTGATTCCGAATCCAAGCTACAATTGTCTATCAATTGAAACCAAACCCAAGCTTACAGATGTGAAAAATTACGAGCCACACTTTAAAGTGAACCGAAGCACCGTACATTTTTCTTTGGGTCTGCAGACATGATTCGAAAGCAAAATCGAAAAATCTATTAATATGGAAAATAGCTTATTTTATAGTAATTTAAGAAATTGCTTCTGTTATACTATATAATATCTTGAGATTATGATATTTTCACTGCTGGCCCCTGAGGGTATGCAATAGATTTATCTTCTTCTTCAATGATTGCCATTTGCAGCAGTTTTTATTGTCAGCGATTTTGATTAACTGCACACAGACACACACGCGGGCAGGCACTCACACACACACACATACATACAGCCACACACACACACGGATAGCCACACACACACACACACACACACACACACGGACAAGCGCACACACTTGCACTCGCACTCGATTAAGTAGATGCGCCAGTTCAAGGCTCTTGGGGCCAAGTTGTCCAAATTGATGTCACGTATTTGGCTCGCGACTGTCGCAGCATTCTCTGCAGCTGCTGCTGTTGGTGCTGCCGCATTTGCATTTAATTTTTCGCCATTAATTGGCCCCACAGCAGCGAAAGAAAGGCAGAAAGACTGGGAGAGGGGGAAGTAGAGAGGGAGACAAATAAAAGGAGGCGAAGGAAACGGAAACAGAACGTGCCGCAGCATCAGAAATGTGCACATCATGCACAATGTATATGCTCTGCGAAGACATGGGCTAAAAATAGAGTCAACTGCAATATAAACGTGTCGAACCAGGCTGTTGAGGGGGGAGGCTAGCGATAGCAGGGGGCGGCGGCGGGGCAACTGTGTTTGAGGACAGACTGCGAGTGCGAGAGCAGATATCTCGAGTTGCCTTGACCGGCATGCACAGACAAGAGCACACACACACACACAGAGACAGCGACCCATAGAGAAAGATAGAGAGAGGGAGAGTGAAGGTGTTTGAGCGGGGTGTGGGGGAATGCGTTCGTTGGGCGGTACTCCTTAGCGGACAGCGGCATGCACCAAGATGCTGGCCACAAGATTTATGAGCTGCGACCTGCTTTTGACTTTTTGGCTTTGGCATCACATTGAACTTCAGCAGCAGCTTATGCAATGACTGCCACAACCGGAAGTGCAGCTGCGAATCCGAAACCGAATCCCAATCCGAATGCGAATGCGAATCCGAATGCGAATTGCGAATCGGCGTGTAAAAGCAAACGGCGATGGCGAGTGGAAGTGGAAGCGCAAGTGGAAGTGTTAGCCCGGCTTGTAAATAGGTCGACAAACGGTGTGGCACAATGCTTGCACAATGACGTCACAGCCGTGCCGCTGACCCATATACACACACCTACACACACACACACACACACACACACACACACACACACACATAGTATGTCTAGTATGCTAGAGTGAGAGCGCAACAGCTGCAGTTCACAATTTGCATGGATAAACACACAAAGGCAGGCCGCATTGTTGGTGTGTGTGTGTGTTTGTGTGTGTAAAGGAGTGTGTGTGTGAATGAATACTCAACCTGAGCACACACAGGCACACGCACACACATAGCCACAGCTGCCGCCAAGTTGTTTTGTGTTGGCGTTTTGCATAAAACTTCAATTGTTTGTTGACATTTCGTGTGTGTGTTTGTGAATGCGAATTGGTGTGTGTGTGTGTGTGTGTGTGTGTGCGCGCCTGACCACTGTCGCCCATGTTTAATTATCCATATGCACAGATTCCGCTTCTGGTAACATAAAAGGCATACTCGTTAGACGGACGCTGACGTCATGCAACGCTCGTGTCGCATGCAACATGGCCGCGGCGTTCGGTCAATTGAGTCGCGTTCGCTCGACTGAAGGCCCAGTCCACGTTGCATTTGGCCAACAATTCGCCTTCGCTTGGCCGGCCTTTCAATTAAGCACACATACATTTCGTGGCCCCGCCCCCAGCACGCCCGCACGTAAAGTAAGCCCCCCAGGTCGAACCGTGTATCTATGCTCGTCAGCAAATATGCAATTATGTGGCCAAAAAATATGAAGACAGCTCGCTCGGGTAGGATGGCTGGGAGAGATGGGAGGAATGTGGGGCTTGGGCGCTTTGGCAGGCTGCGGGCTTGCTTGGATTTTTTGGCCCGCCTGCCGTGCACTTACACGCTTAATTAAATGCCGGGCGCCAAAAAGTAGGCAACATGCCATGCAACAACGCCTCGACAGCTAAAAAAAAAAAAAAGCAGTCTCGAATGCTCGACTGGCAAATGCCATTTATTTGTTATTTAAATATACCTTCATCAAATTGAAGGCATCCGTGACCCTTTTAAGTGTTCATACGTTTATATATATATATATATTCCTATTTATATATATACATCCTTATTATAGGTTTGAAGCCAGAGCTATATCTTGCTGTTGCTGTAGTTTTTATTTTGGAATTAGCCAGATCGGAGCACTATATTGAATAGCTGCCATAGATGGGATCGGCTGAGAATTGAGTTCTATATGAAAAACCTTTTTTACTTGTTAAGAAGCTCGTATCCTTATCTAGCTTGGCAATTATGAGCTTCAATTTCGTCGCAGAGTCTTATCATAACAGACTTCAATATCATATGGCTTCTATGGGAATAATCAGTCGGAAATACAGAATCTGTATAAAAGATTCGCTTAGACATTTGGCTACGAGTGTATTTTATCTTTGGCGCGCCGAGCAAAGCCGCTCCGGTCGAGCAACATATTCGTCCTGTCCACACGGCAGAATATGGCTTGAAAAGAAGCCAACACTTAACCTAAGACGCTGTGCTATCGTGCAACTATCGCTTGGGAAGATAAAAAAGCGATAGGTAAGCAAAAATGAAAGTTTCACAATTAGCTTAGCTCTTCAACAAGCAAACTGAACAACTTCTAAGCTCGCAGTTTTAGGTTTGGAGAGAAATCTTCAGATCTGGTTACTTTAAGAGTCTTCTGTGGCAGAGACAACCCTTCAATGTGTGCAGGGTATTCGAATGGGAAAAAAATGCAGAGAGAAAAAAAACAGCTGCACTTTGTTGGCAACATCAGCGATAAGGGCGAAACGCTGCATAAAATGCTTTTGGCTGTCATTTTGGGCACTCTGCCAGCGATGGCGCCTCTTCACATGCAACGCCTCACACTCACACACGTGGGTGACTATGTGTGTGTATCTGTGTGTCTGTGTGTGTATCTATGTGATTGTAATAAAATTTCAATTACATGTGTAAACATTTATTGCCTTCCTGTAGAGCCGCGGGGGCGACTCCGACCTGCGATTGCTACGATGCTTCTACGATGTGTGGCGTGTGGCAGGGCATTGGGCCAAAAAAATATTGCTATTTGCCGCCAGTTGAATGCGCATTAAATGGTTTTTGAATGGGACCCTTTATGCCACAAGCGGCTTGCCACACAACCTTTATATATATTTATATGCCCAATGCAAAATACTAAACACTAAGTCTTGGTATATAAAAGATACCAATTATCAAATATCGATTAGAGCTCAGCATTTGATTTGCTTGCTGCATAATGCATCTCCTGCATATTTAATTCCATAAACAATTTATTTAAAATAAATTCTAATTTATGACAATAGGCTCGAGCGCCATCAGGTCGTCTACCAACTAAAATACCCTGCAAAGCTTTGTCATTGTGGAGTTCGACTACAATAATACGAGTACGAGAACGACTGTGGCAACTCCGGTTGTTTTTGGTTGGGGCTGCCATCACTTGCAATAAAAGTTTAATTTGCGAGATATTTATGTTATTTTGTGACAACTTTGGCTGAACTTTTTGGGGTTGCAGTGATCACAATAACTGTAGAATATGGGACTGACAACTGTGGTTAACGGGAAATAACAGTAAAATATGCGTCACATATTTTACTTAACTGTGGCAACCTTTGTTTGAACTTTTTGTGGTTGCCACCACGCACAATCACGGCAACGATGTTGTGAGGAACAAGGATTTTTACTAGTTTATAAAGTCCTAACGGGTATATTAGTTTGTCTGTTCGAAAAGGTACAAAAACAATTCTTTCTTTAGCATTCTTCCAATTGCTCTTTCAAGAGCGCCTAGATTTACGAATTCCGCTTTGTTGTCACATTCTTAATGAATCCTCTGGCCGTGCACTTACTCTCCCTATATCTGACACTTCCAGTATTTCTTCTTATTAACATGCTCACATTATTTTTATATACTCTCTTTGTGTCACATTCTTAAACAAATAACAGGACAAAATGTTTTACTTTGTTTAATCAAGTTTTTGAAATGTCAAATGCTTAAATTAATTGATTTGGGATGATATAAAAGCAGCTGAAGAAATGCTGAAATATCAAAAGTGCTCAAAAGTATTTTGAAATGCTGCCTTTTAATAAAGATTGTTCTTTATGCTTAAGCTTAACTTGTTATTAATGTTGTATTTGTATTGATTTGTTTTATTTTATTACAGGTCTTTGCCCAAATTGAGCAGTCAAGACGAAGAAGGGGGGGCTGGTCATGGCTTTGGTGGCGGACCACAACACTTTGAACCCATTCCTCACGATCATGATTTCTGCGAGAGAGTCGTTATAAATGTAAATATGCGCTTTTGATTATAAAAATAATGTATATGTGTGTGATTATTAATGCTATTCATTATATATTGATTAGGTAAGCGGGTTAAGGTTTGAGACACAACTGCGTACGCTAAATCAATTCCCGGACACACTGCTTGGGGATCCAGCTCGGAGATTACGGTACTTTGACCCGCTTAGGAATGAATATTTTTTTGACCGTAGTCGTCCGAGCTTCGATGCGATTTTATACTATTATCAGAGTGGTAAGCATATTCCCAAATGAATGCCAAGTGAGTGCCATTCACAGAAAACTCTATTCGCATCAAAACGTAACGAATAATTTGCTAATGTTTTTTCCACTTTTACTCTTCTCTTCTCTGACCCCAAACTGCCCTAACCACATGCCAAACACATGCAACTCTCTCTCAAATACACACACATACGCACACACATGCACACGCTCACCTGCAATTATGATGCGCTTACCGTTTCTTCACAGGTGGCCGACTACGGAGACCGGTCAATGTCCCTTTAGACGTATTTAGTGAAGAAATAAAATTTTATGAATTAGGTGATCAAGCAATTAATAAATTCAGGTAAGCCTGTTGCCCCACAAATTATTACCACAAAAAAAAAAAAAAATCCAAAAATTCCAAAAACTACACGAAAATATAACAAAAAAATACTAACCGATATTGAAAAACAAATACTGAACAAATACAAATACTAATTGAAATGCAGCAAAGCGCGAATTGGTTTTTGCTTATTGGCGGCAGCAAATTGTTGAACCAAGCTCCCAACCCACAAGGCATGCAACACGGCACGTAGACACCTGACCAAGACACCTGACACAAACGCAAAACACACGCACACTCACACTCACACTCACACACACAGACACACAGATATGTTATGTAACCAATATAGTACTTTAGCTTGCACATAAACATAAGTTGTAGTTTTAATGCATTCGCTATCATTCTAAACAAGTATTCATGACCTTCGTCGATTTAACAACATTTGCTAATGAACTAGTTCAAGCGAACCGATTCCTTTAGTAACTCATTTAATTTTGAAACAATTGCGTAAGCAACAGACCTGTGCAACTTGCAATATTAAGCTTAGGCTGTGGAACATGGCATCAGCATGAATGAAATGTGGCATATGAAACATGACATGTAAAATTTGGTATGTGGAACACGACATCTGAAACATGGTGTTAAGAGAATGGTACAAATAAAATGGCAGTTGGAATGTGAGAAATGAAACACTGCACAGAAGACATCGTTAATTGTACATATGTAAAATATGAAACATGGTATATAGATGTGGAACATGGTTCGCAAAACATTGTATACAAAATATTGCATATGAAATGCATATGATAAATGAAATATGATACATGGAACATGACATATGCAACACAGCATGTGCAACATGTGAATGAAACATTGCTTTGACTACATTGCATATGGTATATAAAATGTAATACATGGTATATGGAACATGACTTTGGAAAATGACTTATGGAACATTGCATATGCGAAATGGGCAATGAAACATGGCATTCACGATATTGTTATGGTATATAAAATATGGAATATATTAAGTAATAAAAATATAGCAATATACTCAACAAGTTATGCAGAATATGAGGAATATTAAATGGATCACGGAACATGTTAGATGGCACATGCAAGATGGAAAATGAAACATTGCAAAATAAGCATGGAATTTGGAATATAATAACTTTGTAAGTGGAATATGAAACATAATGCAACAACTCGCAAATTTATTTCATATTCCATTCAAAAATACCTTAAATACTTTATGGTAAAACGTTATGCAAACAATCAAAACATTGAAGAGGAACAATCCAATTGTCTTGCTTGTCAAACGCTTTGTCCAACAGCCCTTGTTGTTGAAGAGCAGGCAAAATGTAAAACCTGAAACATTACGTGTGGAACATTTAACTTGAATAAAATGGCCTTAACAAATTGTTAACCCCCTGTTCACTTACCTAAAACCCTTAGTCATTGTGAAAGAGGAGTGGAATATGGGGGAAAACATAAAACATGGCAGCTGGATTATGAAACTCGAATTCCCCTTCGACTGCTTTGCCCTTCACTCAGCTACGTAAATTCCGATTACCCAATTCCTATGGCTTTATTCAATTGGCAGCCACAATATTGTGTTCATACTTCATTGTATGAATGAGCAAATAGTTAAAACACACAGACACACACAGAAACACACACCCGCACAGGCAGAGGAACAGGCACATACCACTCTTTTTGTTCTTCTTGTTATTGGTTTTATGGACATAGCTATTGACTTGTGGTTATTCATTCAATCGACTTATGTCGGCATTTATGGAACGTTTTACATATTTTGCGGTTTTCATGAGAATTGCATTTATCACAAAACAAAGGAAGCACACATACACACACACACACACATACAAATACGCATACGCATACTCACATACATACAGTAAGCGACATGGACAATCGAACGAACGAGAGAATGAAACCTGAAGGCCGTTGGCGAATCACTTGTTAATCACTTGACCACCAGCTTAAAATTTTGTTCATACGGCAGAAAAAGGGGGGCACTGTGCCCGGACCGTGTAGGCCCCAGCATGAGCCCCAGAACCAGGCGGGGCTCAGCTGCTAAAGAGGAAGATGCCAAAGAGAACAAAGAGGAATTCATCCGGTGACAATTTGTGCAACGAATCAAAGTTAACTCTCGATTCATTTCAAATATCATTTCAATAGAAATCTACTTAATCTTCACATGTTATCGATTTTAAGTTGCCATTTATCGATATCGATTAACGATTGCCAACACTTAATTTTGATTAGCTCCCCAATTGGCTGCCAAACCAAATCGCTGCTTAGGGCCTAACCAAATGAAAAACAAATCTATAAGATACTTAAAGCTTCCACACACACACATAAGAAACTTAAGCACACAGACACAAACATACACATTAATTGACATAAGCTTACCTGATCTTCTATTATCTTTATATGCAGAGAGGATGAAGGCTTTATTAAAGAGGAAGAAAGACCATTACCGGATAATGAGAAACAAAGAAAAGTCTGGCTGCTCTTTGAGTACCCAGAGAGCTCGCAAGCCGCCAGAGTTGTAGCCATAATTAGTGTATTTGTTATATTGCTATCAATTGTTATATTTTGTCTAGAAACATTACCCGAATTTAAGCATTACAAGGTGCGTACTTCTCCAAGGCCAAGTCCAATCCAAGCTCAACTATATATATACACATATATATACACAGAGCTGTGATATCATTTTTTTAAATGCTTTTTTGTTTTTTTTTTTTATTTTTGTCATTTGTAATTCTTCTTTCCAGGTGTTCAATACAACAACAAATGGCACAAAAATCGAGGAAGACGAGGTGCCTGACATCACAGATCCCTTCTTCCTTATAGAAACGTTATGTATTATTTGGTTTACATTTGAACTAACTGTCAGGTATGAGCATTAATACTTTATATTACAATATAAGCTCTAGCTTCTAAGTCTGTGTGGGGAATCTTTAATCAGTAAGGATTTTTAGGCACATTTGAAAGCCTGGGGCGTTTATTAGATTTATTTCGTTTCATATAACGCATTCTTAGTCCTACTTCTGGATCAACTTTCAAATCGCGTTTGAACCGAATGAGCTGAATCTTTTATCAGATGAGATGCCCTAACTGAAACAAGCTATTGCTTTTACTAAAGTGGTTTAAATTAAAGAAGAAGAAAACAGTTTCAGGAGCAAATAGCATAAACTTATATGAAAGAAGCCATATTTGAATTATTCAAATCTGGGTTCAGGAATGTATTAAACAAGTCTCTCAGCAGATAGTCTTTTCGAGTTGTTGGCCTTGAACTTAATTTAAAAATCATTCAAGAATTTGTTCTTAGAATTTGAAAAGATTTGTGAGGAAGAAAAGATTTAAAGAAAAGAATTTCAGCGAAATATGTTTTTGCTGCCAATCTCTGAGTTAAAGTGGATTCGGAGTTGAAACTCGATTTTAGACATAATTTGATAAATATGAAACGATGAAAATCTTCAACTTTATAGCTTACATTAAAGGCCATAAGCTCTAGCAGCCTTGGGGTATACATTTAACTTTATTATTTATTAATCAATTACGCCTAGTTTGTAATAAATCTCATATAATTGATAGACCATGTTGATATATATATGCAATATTTGTACGTTTTCTTTTTTTCGCTTTTTCCTTCTCATTGTATTACTCTTGAACTTACTCTGTTTGTCTCTGGCTCAAATGTTCTCTCTCTCTCTCTCTCCCTCACTTTCTCTCTCTCTCACTCTCTTTCTCTTTCTCTCTCTCTCTCTCTCTCTATGTTTCTCCTTGTTTATGTTTCTGTCATATCGCGTTGTTTTTATTTCTGTGTTGCGCCCGCGCAGGTTCCTCGCATGTCCGAACAAATTAAATTTCTGCAGGGATGTCATGAATGTTATCGACATAATCGCCATCATTCCGTACTTTATAACACTAGCGACTGTCGTTGCCGAAGAGGAGGATACGTTAAATCTTCCAAAAGCGCCAGTCAGTCCACAGGTATGAGATTTTTGTTTGGCCAAAACTGTAATGCTAAATTATACACTCACACATACGCACGCACATACACACACACACGCACACACATACACACACACACACTCCTACTGCTACAAACATGTACATTGTATATGAACAAATAAATATTTGTATTATTACTAATTTGTTTGATAAACAACAAAATTACCAAAAATTCTAAAACTCGTCGCGTTGTTATGTTTTTGTTTATATGAGTAACAAGAAAAAACAAATTGCCTGCTTTAAAATTTATGATTTCTCTACTTAAATGCAAATTCTACTTTCATATATGGATGTGATCAAATCAGTTGCGACAAACATTGAACATGTGCATATATATAGAATATATATATATATTTTTATATATATAATCAGCTTATGATTTGATAGCAATGCTTCTGCCTACGTAATATATATACTTGATACTTACCTATAAAATGCCTATCTTAGTGCTCTTGTGATATCCGTAAAACAGTACGAATTATTGTTGTATATTATTAACTAACTGAAACTAAAATTAACTATTTGACACGAATCAAATGAAAACCTGCTGCACACAGTCTTACACACGCATACATAAACTGATATATAGATATATATATATATATATAGATAATCAATTATGCACACATATATATATATGCCTTTATACGATATATATGTGCATTTATTATTATTTATATGTATATGTTTATATATACTGCTCATATATAATATATTTATATATAAATACTCACACATAATGAAATACTTAACTGAATCTGTTGCATACATCAATCTACAAATCTATAAATAATTATAAATTTTTAGGACAAGTCATCGAATCAGGCTATGTCCTTGGCAATATTACGAGTGATACGATTAGTTCGAGTATTTCGAATATTTAAGTTATCTAGGCATTCGAAGGGTTTACAAATATTAGGACGAACTCTGAAAGCCTCAATGCGGGAATTAGGTTTACTTATATTTTTCTTATTTATAGGTAAGTTAACCACAAAGCGGCCAACAAACCAATTACAAACAACAAACAAACCAACTAGCACACACAAACACACACACACACACACACACACGCAACACACACACACACACACACACACGCAACACACACACACACACACACATACACCATGTTTTACACCTAACTATAAAACTGCTTACTTACATACAAGTATGTACCAAACAATCTATCAATTTATTTTGATATAAACAACGACCTTTACGACCAACGACTTGTTAACTCTACTCGCAACTCTTAACACAACAACCTCAACTCCTTAACTCAGACAGACCAAACTTTTAGGCAGAACACATAAGTTTACAACAACAACAAAAAAGAACTCCTGCTTATAAAAAAATATCAACAAAAAAAGTAATATTTTAGATATACATTATATAATTTAAGTACATAACAGCCAGCACATTTTTTAGCGCCTCACCATTTGTTTACAACACCAAAATACCAACAAATACAAAAAGATACTCAAAAAAAAAAAACCAAACTCCTTAAAATCCAAATACTCAATATATTTAAATATAGAAAATCGAGCGAATATAAATATATACAAAGCCAACTTATATGCTTTTTAAACAATTTTCATTTGTCATTTCAATTACCCAAATCAAAAACCCAGAGCTCAATTTCATCTATTGAAGATCATCATTAGACTGATCTTTTCCGTTTTTATTTTTTTGGTCAGTTTTTGAGTAAATTCCACATACCGTTGAAGTCACTTCAGCATATTCTTTAACTTACTTGGGTTCCATATGATATATAATCAATATTATATCTATGCTCCAAATATTATGATCCATAACTCTGAAGTAAACATTACATTAAAGTAATATACTTTACATCTACTTAGTTAATGCTAATAATTACCTTAACAATTACAGTATATTTTACGTATACATGAAAATACCATCAAGAATAAAACAAGCCCATACAATATATACGATATATACGATAAACTAAACTAAACTAAACGAGAAACCAACTAATTAGTTACATAATACGTATAGCTTATTTAGTTAAACCCGGATGCAGCATACACCTAGGCGCCCTTAGAGCGTAATACCCATGCCTATATATGTACATGCATACATGTATATGTATGTGTACTTATCCACTACGTATTTTTACCATATAATATTGTCGTCTTCTAATTAGCTTAAGTAATACCTGCAAAATATGCGACAGTTAATACAAATATATATACATATATCCATTTTTTTTTTGTTGGGTCCGGATCAGATTTAGTTGGCCGATTAGAGTATTGGTATTAGTAAACGTAACAGTAAAATCGATATATACAATATATATGTATATATATATTTTCATATGTGTATATATATATAGAGAGAGAAATAAACAAAAAGTTTTCATCGTCTTTTGGCTAGAAAAATAAAACAATGTCAATGTACTCGAATTTTAGTCTATTACTCCTGATATACTTTGACAGTGTAAAAACGCAATTTTTATGGTTTTTATAAACGCCCACTCGCTAAAGTCGTTGGCAATTTTAAGGTTCATGCGTATTTTGTTGCAGTTCATTCAATCATTCCATCATTCATATGATATTTTTTTTTATATTTCAACTCCATTTATAAATATTTTCTGCGTTTCTTTGTACAAACTTAGATAAGAGAACATCTATGTTTTCTTTTATTTTTTTTTTTTTTTTTTTGCACAAACTGCGCATATATGCCTTAAAATTGGCAAACTTCTTTGCGTTGAATTGTCCAAGAAGAAGAAAAAAAATACTAGCAACATTAGATAGCGAAAAAAAAAGAAAATAAATGAAAGTTTCTGAAGAATGAATAGTAACAAAAAAAACCTATTTTAAACATATACTTACCTATATATACATATATATAAAAATTTTGTATTGTTGTTCACGTTTTAACATAATCAAGTTGTTTCGCATTACGTTAACGTAACCGTAACCGTAACCGTAATCGTAATCGTTATCGTATCTGTAACCGTAACCGTACTCGTTATCGTAATCGTTATCGTATTTGTAAACGTAACTTCATCTACGCTGTTTTTGATGTCGTTTCTTTGGCTTTTCGTTTATAGTTTGTTGTTGTATCTGTTAACTTATTAACCTCTAACCATTAGGTATGTATATATATATGATATATATATATATATATATAATGTGTACATCTATATATATATATTCCACATATTGTGTATATTAAAAAAACCAAATTGTACAAAATTCTCCAACGAGGTTTCTCAAATTGATTGCCTTGCGTTGGGTGGAGTTTTATCTGTGTTTTTGTTTTTTTTTTTTTTTTTTTTTTTTTTTCCGGTTAAAATTTTAGATCATTTTCATTGTTGTGTTGATTCTTATAGCTAACACCGTATCGCAGGTTAGTTAGTTAAGTACTAGCGCCTGCTATGTAGATCGGTTCCTATGTACCCATGCATCTATTATGATATCAAACAGCATACAAACTAAATTAGTTTAGCATAACTCTACAGTAATCATAACGTGTGCTCATATATGTACTTTATAGGAACTCTAGATCGCTTATGGATATATCTTCATCGATGCGGCCGTTGTACACAGAAGCATATTAACTACTTGTTTTTACCCCATATGTTTCATATTTCGTATACCATTTGCCTTGCTGTAGTGTAGTATATATATATATAAAATATATCATATAATGTATGTATTTCGTATTGTACAAAGTACTCAACTAGCTAGTTTCTGTTTATCTTTACAATAATAAACAAAAGATGAAAAGAAAAACAACATCAAATACTAAATATTAATGGCAAATACATAGCGTCATATTAAATACTAGCTAGTTGCAACAATCTAGAAGCATTACTAACCTAACCTCAAAAAAAGGGCAATTAAATCGATTTATCGATAGATCGATAACTTCTCGTTTGCCTAGTGCGCTGAATTGTAGTGTTGCACAAATGTTGAGAGCCGCTCGATTAAAAACTCGCCACGATCTCAACATTTGTGCATTGGAACTTCGGTATTAAGCCGAAGACGTCGTTGTCGTTGTCAGCATTTCCCTTTATTTCGATTTGTAATATTTTGCGAACTATTTATGTAAAACACACAAACACACACACACAACAGACACACATATATATACAATACACAAATTTTAACCAATTATATACTCATATATAACCTGATACAATTGAGACACAGACATACTTAACTGCTATATAATGTGATTTACACCCCGTTTTTTAAACGTTTTATCACTTGCAATATCTTTTTGTAACACCTTTCTTATAGTTTCTGCACAGATTAATATAAAAATATAAATAAATATGATAACTAACCAATATAAACACAAAAAAAAATCAATAATATTCAAATATTTTTGATAATCCTATAACGCATATTATGAGAGTATTAAAACTCTTTTGAATAGCATCATATATGTATATCTAAATGATATTATAGTCGATCACCCCTTGCATACTGTGTACACTAAACTGAACAATATTTGGGGCTCCTTTCATAAATTGCAAATCATTTTGAACAGATCTTTTTTAAGAGTTGCCCCATGCAGATGGAACGTACTTTGATAAGCGCTCAGACCCAAGCAGAAAACTAACTGAAATACTCTCTCCCTCTCTCACTCTTACTCTCTATCTCTCTCTCTCTTCTATATATATATATATATAAATATATTTGTTTCGTTTTTTTTTTTTTTTTCTTTGTGTTCAACTCATCCAATAAATATTTATGTATATATTATATGAAATGAAATTGAAACTAATCTAACGCTGATCTCTGTTTGAAATTGCGCCCAGGCGTTGTACTATTCTCATCGGCGGTTTATTTCGCGGAGGCTGGCAGCGAGAGTTCCTTTTTCAAGTCCATACCCGACGGATTCTGGTGGGCTGTGGTGACCATGACCACGGTGGGATATGGTGATATGAGGTACAACTTACATTACATCTACATCAATCCAATGATAACAAGCAAATATACAACAAAAAAAATACCAATGCCACACCAAAAAATACCAACCAAAAAATACCAAACAAGTTAATCGCAACTGCGCTGCCTAATTTGTGTATCAACTCAACTAACCAAGTTATTAACTGCTCCATGTAACATAGCGCTACGACTACTCTATCGGTCGCTCTCTCTCTCTCACTCTCTCTTTAATTTTTCTCTCTCACTTTCTCTGTCTCTTTCTATCTTTATGTCCTTTATGTTTATTTACAAGTGCTTTTGTATTTGTGTACTGTTTCTGTCCCGCTCTAACTATGTTTACTTCATCTTTTTGTGCATTTGTGCAAGGCTCTCTCTCTCTCTCTCTCTGTCTTTCTCTTTCTCTTTCTCTCTCTCTCTCTGTGAAAGCATAGAGCAAACTTGTGTTCATACTCCATCGACTATTTTGTATATCTCAAAATGTGTTTTTTTTTTTCATTTTGTTAACTTTGTATAAATGAGTGTTTCAATTCCATAACGTTCCGCTCGGTTCTTCATGCCAATTCCATGACTCTGTTACATTCCACATTGCATACAACCGAAGAGCTCTCTCACGCAGATTATTTCAATTGAGTTTTGGAATAGTTGGGAATTATGACCGACAGCAGATCTCCACAAAAAATGTATATAAATACTTTATGTGTCTTGAATATATACCCACTACTTTTTAGCATTTTTATGTGTATTAAGCAAGTCAGCTAAGCTAATTCTGTATCTATAACTGTACCCTATATGTAACTATCTATTAATGTATCTACTTGTATATGCTGTGCCTTGTATAGATCCCTATTAATGTGCTCTTCATCCTGTTTCTAGTTGTTGTTGCATCGACGTCCTGTGTTATCGTGCGTTGTTGTAATCCAGCCCTATTAACCGCTCTCTCTTGCTCTCGCTCTCTCGCTCTTTCTCTGCCTCTTTCTCTGTCTCTGTCTCTCTTTTACACTCTCTCCTGCTCTTTGTGCCCCTTTTTATCGATGTCCTCATCGTTTACCCTCCTCTACTTAACGTTTTCATGAGCTATGCGCTATTTTCATTTATCATTTTACTATTTTCATTATATTTTCTATTTTCTTTGTTTATTTTTTTCTTGAACTTGTTCTTTTGATCTTGTGTTATGTGAACTTTTTTGGCATGTCCTGCATTTCGGTTCTCTTGTTCTTCATTCGTTTGTCTGATTCTGTTCTTGAGTTTCAAAATATCCCAAGCAGAATAATAAACCACTCACTAGTCGAATACCATACATAAACAATAGAACATTAAAAAAAAAGAAAACAAAAAACAAGATCTATCCAGCACTTGGAATTCTCGCCATCGTCGTCGTCGCCGTCGCCGTCGTCGTCGTCGTTGTTGTTCTCATTCTCGTCCTCGTCGTTTAGCTTTAAGATTATGATATCACCATATTTCTCAGCCCAGGGCTTAGCACACCAGAAACCGATTTTATTTAATTGCCCACTCGTTTTTTTCTGCTTGGGAATGCCGCGGCTCAGTTTCGCATTGTCACAAGATTGCGAATAGAATCCGAAAACTATTTTTAATAGGATTATGAAATCCAGCTGAAAAGCGTGCTACACAATGCTGTGCAGCTTAGCGGTGGAAGGGGGGGACACAGTAAATGTGCCCCCCACCAAAAAAAGGAAACGCTGAAATGACTGTTAACGCCATTAGATTCCGGTTCCGGTGCCAGTGCCGGTGCCGGTGCCGTTGCCGTTGCCGGTTCCAGTTCCACTTGCACACTTTGTTCCGTTTTGTCCGCAATTGAGATTTTCAGTTAACACATTGTATAGCACGTTCTACAGAACAAACAACCGCACACACACACACACACACACACACACATCTATACCAACACACACACCACCACACAGCCACACACAAAGAGAGTATTACCTGCCGGACCGTTCATACGTATCCAGCCTGAGACTTTCCTACAGACAAGGACTTGCCGGACGCCAAGCCAAATCGACACCCAAAGCTAAATTACAAAACTCTTTTTTATTTCAAATGTTTTTTGATTTACAAAAAAAAAAAAAGAAAAAAAAAACAATTTTAATAATAATTGAAAAAACCATATATAATATGTAAAAGTAAGAAAAAAAAAGAAAAAAAAAACATATTAAAAAAAAGAAGAACTGCTATGTTTATGAAATAATCGAGTCGGAACCAATGCAAAGCAATTTCTCCCATCAATTTTTTTAGGCGTCGTACTCTTCTCATCAGCGGTTTATTTTGCGGAAGCTGGAAGCGAAAATTCCTTCTTCAAGTCCATACCCGATGCATTTTGGTGGGCAGTCGTTACCATGACCACCGTTGGATATGGTGACATGACGTATGCAAATCTATACAATTACAATTCTAACTTTTCTGATTACGATTCTGTTTATGTTACTATGATTATGATTATGTTATCGTTTCTGAGTTTTATGTTCGTTATTCTAAGTTTTTGGTTCGTTAAATGTGCGGTGCTAATTGCGCTGAAGTGTTGTCATTTACTGATCAACTCTTTCGCCAAGTATTTTTTAGTTACTTCTTCTTATCACATACTAACCAAAGTTCGCAATACTCGTTTGATCCGAAAACAAAAACCGAAAAAGAACTACATTTTATTTGCTTTATGCGTACAAGTTTTGATTTGCGAATTTATCACGTACTTTGAATCGCTGCGCTCTTTCGTTTCATTTCATATCGTTTCATTTCGTTTCGTTCCGTAGCGTACCTCGGTAGCCTACAAAAACCAAGGCATTTTTTCATTTTGTTATTCTTTGTCAGATCTTTACACTTATTTAACAGCCTATCTGTCTAACTGTCTACTTATATCTTTTGTTGCCACTGTGTTCTGTTACCGTTCCGTTCCGTTCCATTGCGTACCGTTCTGTTCTGTTCTGGTTCCGTTAACCGACAACCTTAGGCAAAGGCAACAATTGCAGTTGCCCCCAAACTGGTTGGTGACGCAAATTTCCCTTTGCCTAAAGTGAACGCAATTGAACAAAAATGCTTAGAAAAGCTCTATAAATTTAAACAGTTTTTCTATTCATTATCAATGTAACGTTGTGTCGTTGTTTAGTTCACATAAAACCCAACAAAGAAACAAGTAAAAGTCCAACCCCAGTAACACCCAATCACACACACACACAGACACACACACACACCCACACACACACCCACACACACACACATTCATACAGCTACATCATGCATTATTACACTGTATTTTCGATACAGTGTTTACTTATCGATAACTTTACTCGATATTTTCATCAACTCTTGACTCAGACTCACACATGCACACAAACATTTATACACTGCATTAGGAAGTAATTGTACTATTTAGAGTTGCGTATTTAGTGCAGCTTGCCACGCCCCTAAGGCAACTAAAGTTGCTGGGACGTGGCTTTAGCTAATATCGATACCGATACCGATAACACATTTTGCGCAATATTCTTAGCTCTGCTCTTATCGAACGCATGCTGCATGTGCCAGATATACTGAATACCCTATGCCAAACAGCAGACCAATAGACACAGGCACACACACATAAACACGCACACACACATATGCGCGCAAAGTTATTCAACCGTGACCGTTCCTAATACCCAAGTCGTCAAGTCCTAATCCAACGCCTTCAACTATGCCCAACAATCAGCCCCAGCTCCTGCACCGCAACAGCAACCGCTGCTCGCCACTTGCTCCCGCCCACGCCCACGCCCCTGCCCTTTGTCGCGCCTAACTTTGAGTAGTTCTGTCACATAGAAATTTACGCACACACACACACACACACACACAACTTTCTGCTGTCCTCTCTCTCTCTCTCTCTCTCTCTCTCTCTCTGTCTGTCACTCTCTCGCACTCTTTCTTTCTCTCTCTCTCTGTCTCTCGAACTCTTCGCACTCGCTTTAACACGCTGTGCACCTGTGTAACTTACTCGCACACTATGCAACATTCGTTTGAGTGTCTGCATATGTATATATATACACACACACGCGCGCACACACACACACCCATACACACACAGCAACTTTGCCGTCTTAGCAAATATATATATATATACTAACATACTTATAAAGCAAAAAAAAAAATGGTATAGAGAACCTTAACCCAAAGCCAAAGCAAAAAAAAAAAAACAAACAAAAGAAAAAATACAAAAAAAAAAAGAAGAAACCACAAAAACCACTCGTAACGCTACTCGTTTTAAGTGTTGTGCCTAATTTCGAGTACTCTTTGCTAAACTATTATTTCGTTTTACTGTTTCTACTGCTATTGCCTATAATCAAATATGCTCGTACTTGTATACGTACATATTCTATAATGCAATCACTGATATACAAGAAAAAATATATATATATTAAAAAAAAAAAAAAAACTGTATCTCAAACATAACCTAAGAATTTAAATTGAAAACAAAACGATAGTTTTACTTTACATTTCTTATATATTTGTATTTTCATTTTATTTATCGTTCGTTCGATAACATCGCTCGCATCATCCAAAACAAACAAACAAACAAAAATCCAAAAATATAAAATCTATTTATACATATAAATATAAATATATATATCTATATATATATCTATACCTTAAACCAATTTAATTACAACCAAACCAAAAAAAAAAAAAAAACGTTTAAAAACCCAACTATCTAAAAAAAAACGATCGCATTAAAATCCATAACAAAAATATCTCTCGCAAATTCAATTCAATACCAAAAAACAAAAAAAAAAACGCCACAAAAAAAATACCGTTAAAAATATGGAAATAAACGAAAATTGGAATCGGAAACGCATTGAAATTCGTTTGACACACGATATGCAATATTGAAATATGAAACGAAACAAAATTGAAATGAAATTGATATCGATATCGATAAACGATAATTAAACAAAATACAGACCCGTCGGCGTTTGGGGCAAAATTGTGGGATCATTATGTGCGATTGCTGGTGTACTAACAATCGCACTGCCCGTACCGGTTATCGTCAGTAATTTCAATTACTTCTATCACCGCGAAACGGATCAGGAGGAGATGCAGAGCCAAAACTTTAATCATGTTACTAGTTGTCCATATTTGCCAGGTACATTAGGTAAGTTGAAATGTGCACTGTGCCTCGTTATCTTCCACTCTACTCGTATCACAATCACATTCGACTGGACGATTGCAAAGTAAAGCCACACACATATATACACACACGCTCACACACATACACAGACACATCTATATGCCAAACACCTGTCACACACTCGTACATTACACAAACCCACACACACCCACAAACACACACACACACACACACACACACACACACACACAGACACAGTCGCCTGCATATCTACTGTTAAACAGAACCCAGTTTGAATAAAAATAGAAACATTTACGAAGAAAGAAACGAAACGTAGGCATTATATAAAAACGCTTGATGCGACGGCGTTGCCGTACTGGCCGCATGCAGCACGCCTCATACCAATCTGGCAGCGCTGGCCGTATTGCAAAACGTACGCATCATCGCACGCCGTGTTGCCAAATGTGAACGCCAGTCAGTTGTCTATCGATAATTCGATAAGCGAATTGCCATGTGGCAACGCCTGATCGCTCGCCGGTGGCAACTCTGCGCAACTGTATCGACCTACAATACGTACTTACACGTACTGCGTGTTTTGTGTGTAACAAGAAATACAACAAAAAGCATTTTTGTAATTAATACATTACAACTGTATGTGTGATCTCCTCTTTCTCTCTTCTCTCTCTCTTCTTTTTGTTTCTCTCTTTATTCCGTTAAATCGTAATGCGAATCCGATAATTATCGATATCGATAACCTGAACTTGCAACAATTATCTGTAATCTCAAATGTCCCACAATCCGAAACCGAAACCGTAACCGCATCCAAATTCTGTATATGTATAACCCAACGAATCCAAATTCCCTCCATGCCTATCCGTCAACCGTCAATCACTGTAACACACACACACACACACGCACACACATACACGCGCACACGCATACGCGCACACGAACACTTTGTTTAACACCAACTACCAAACACTGCGACAACAACCAACAACCAACAACAACAACCAACAACAACAACCAACAACAACAACAACGATCAAACAACGTTGAACATCAACACTAAACAAATGCATAAAACCACAAGTAGGTCAACACTTGAAGAAATCATCGTTGTCCGAGTCCTCATCGGATATGATGGATTTGGACGATGGTGTTGAATCGACGCCAGGGTTAACTGAAACACATCCTGGACGCAGTGGAGCAGCTCCGTTTTTGGGAGCCACACAGATGCAGCTGCAACCGCCGCCAGTGCAGCAGCAGCAGCAGCAGCAACAACTACAGCAGCAGCAGCAGCAGCAGCAGCAACTGCAACTGCAGCAGCAGAATGGCTTCAAGCAGCTGCAGTCAACAGTAAGCGTCAGTGCGGCAACTGGCAGCGCTGGAAGCAGTCTCACAATGAGGCACAACAATGCGCTGGCTGTTAGCATCGAGACCGACGTTTGACTACTGGGTAAGTGTGCGCCTTTACTCTCTCTACCCCGCCCCTCTCCACCTCTCTCTCTCTTTGTATCTCTGTCGCCCTCTCTCTGTGTCATACCCCCTAACAGCCCTTTCGCATTCATAAACACTTTCCCTGATTTCCCATTCCAGCTCATATGTAAAGCATTTCGTATGCTAAGCAAAACGCAAAATCTTCAGCTAAAGCTATTTTTCTTCATTTCTCTCTCTCTCTCTCTTTCGCTCCTTTTCTATCTCCAACTCTCTGTCTCTCTCTGTCTTGAGCACAAGTCTTGACTCCCAATTTCTAATGCACAAGCACCAAAACTTCAGTAAAGTTTACTCGTAAAGTCACAATGATATCAGCTGAAAATGCCTTCCTAAAAAAGTGTTGAGCAGCGGTGAAAAGTGCGTTTTTAAGCCATTTGCCAAAACTTCTTACAGGCAAACATTTTTCAACACTGTTCGAGCATATTTTGCCTGCTTCACTTTCAGCTAATGTCATTGTCAGCATAATATTAAGCTCAATATTGCTAATAACTGTCTCTTTCTCTCTCTCTCTCTCTTAATTCGTACCAAAATTAAAGCTAACTGTTTTTTTATAAGCATTAAACTATTTTCTCTTTTTTTTTTTTCTATCCACGCGCGCGCGCTCTCTTGCTCCCTCCCACGCGATATGCCCCCATATGTATGTCTCATTCTATGACTATATATATAAACTATTACTATATATATATTATGTATCTTTATGAATATAATTATGTATATAACTTATATGTATATATATCTGTGGTATGCAAACGCATCACTTGGCTAAATTTGGATGTTATCTATCTATAATATCATCGGGGGTTGGGCAGTAAAATTGATGTTAAGTGGTATAAGATTGGCCTTGTCAAGTGTTACGTTGGATGCCAGAAACGACTACAAAAGCTGTTTAAGTTTAATTTAAGTAGAACAAATAACAAACAAATTTAAACTATTGGTAAATTTAATTAAATGTAATTAAACTAAAATACAAAACAAACTAAAAAAAACAAAAAAACAACAAACAAAAAGAAACAAGAAAATAATATATATATATGTATGTATTTAATATTATAAATAATTATAAATAATATTGATAATTTAATGCGTAAACAATTACCTATATTTAAAACACATAAAAACATCGAAAAAAAAAAAACAAAAAAAAATTAATAATAATAATAAAACCAAATATAATTAAATAATATGAGAAAATACATAAATTCATATAAAATTAATTGAATCACAAAAAATAAATTAACAGAACCATAAAACCCAGTCAAAGTAAACGCAGTTAACGTGAAAAGCAAATAAAAGTGCATACAATTAGGCCTTACACACAAACACACACAAATACACACAAATACATACATATTTAAGCAGAACAACAGCCAAATACACACACAAATAGTGTGGTAAAGACAGCCTAAAAGAGTGCTGTGCAGCTGTGCAAAATCAGTTCTTAAACCATTTCTCATTTTGCATTTTGAAAAGTTTTGCAATACTATTGCTAAATCCAGCTGGTTTGCAGCGCTGGAAAAGCCGCTTAGAAAGCACTTCCGTGATTCAACTGCTTACCCTTTGAGTCACTTTCCGCTAATTGCCAGTTTAATATAAAACCAAAAATTGTTAGTTAACTAACGAAGTTCATATGGTTGGCTCAATCAATGCCATCAGGCAACTCACTTGGTTCTCAAAGCTAAAATTTCTGATAAATTGTAACCAAATGCCGTTTTATGCAGAGCTTATTATGCTTGAGCCACCTTTGGCTTATCTATGCCCACAAAGGATTGATTGATATTTCAACAAGGGAAACTTTCCTTAATGCTGATTCAAGCAGCTTAAACAAGTTATCAAAAATGATGCTGCCAGCGATAACGATTACTTCCAGCTCAGCGCTGATAGCATTGAACATTTCACAACACTTAACCGCATACACACACACACACCCCCACAAAAACACGCAGACACAAACAAACAAAAACACACGTAAACTAACAGCATAGTAAAAGAAAAACTGCCATAATATTACAAATAAAATAAAGATCAACAATTTGTATAGTTATTAACAATAAATAAATAAATAACAGTATATGCTTTTAAACTGTGACAGCATAATACATCAACTTACCAGAACGTAATTTACATCAAATACAAGTACACACACGCTAAAGAGTTCTTATTAGAATCGAACCCACTGTAACGAGAATATTGAATCGGGTCTAGCTTTGATCTTTGGCATTTGTTTCAATCTGTTTGTCTGCTAGCAAAGAAAATAAATTTCACGTACTTAACTATCCCAACTACCAGAACAAACCAAGCTCAACTAACCCGCCCACCCACAAAATGGGATAAAACAAAACAAAACAAAAACCAAAAGAGAAAACGAAATATAAAAAATAATAAGAAAAATAGTCCAACAAGAGAAACTACAGTAAGAACTGTTCTATTTATAAAGCGAACCTGCTTAACTTTCTGCTTAAAACTCCCCCCGAATAAAAACGAAATAAAAAGTACAAATATTCATTATCACAAACAATTTATCACGAAATTAACTAAAGACAAACAAAGAGAACAAAAGAACAACAACAGCAAAAAAAAATAATAATAATTTAAATATTAAAAAAAACCAAAAAAAAAAAAAATAAATAAAATAAAAACGACTGCAATTTAATTGATATACTTGAAACTGAAGAAATCAGATGACATAAAACTAACAGAACTTAAGGCAAAAGCAAGTAAAGTTTAAACAAAACAAAAACAAAAACGAACAAATGTCTGATGATGTTTAAGCAAAATACTAAAAACAAATGTAGAAGAATGGCAAAGGCTCTTATGATTTTATAATAATATGTAACTTAATATGAGAACTCGAGGAATGTACATAGCCTCACAAACACATGCATACATACATACATACATATATATGTATACATAAACATATATGTATATATATATAAATATAAATATATTTATATCTATGTGTGGATGTGCAAATAATACCAAGCTCTGAAAAAAAAAACACAATGTCAAATGCCCCAAAACAATAAATATATGAAACTTTGCTTGCCGCACAGCCCGATGGGAATGAGTTTCCAAATAGTTCAAATACTTCTTCGACTTCTTTCCTCTTTTGCCATTTGTGTGTGTGTGTGTTGACATTGTGACACGCCCATACAGACACACCCGCCCACCCAGCCATTCAAATTTCGGATGCCGTCTACCAAACCAAAGAATATTCATAATATGATAAAATCAACATGAAAAAAAGTCGACTGAAACTATGCAAATTCGCATTTTAATTATAAATAATGTATAAAAATGTAAAACTGTATGTATATGCTTTATATATGTACATTAACATACAAAGGAGTTAAAAGTTAATTTAAAAAAATATGTATAATAATATAAAAATATGTATACATACATATATTTTTGAATAGTTGCTTTTTGCGGCATGCCGCATATGGAATACCCTTGCTGAATGCAAATTTGATACGTAGTCACTTGATGCGTGGACAAAACTTCCGATAGCAGCTAGAAGCGGTGCGATTGATCGAACCTCTATTTCATGAACTGCTTTAATAACAATCAGAACTAAGTGAACTAGTTCATGCAGCTGCAGGTGAAGCGCCAAATATCAGCACAAACACATTCCTTTGTCAACCTAAGCTTGTTTCGCCGCGATCTATTTGGTTGCGGTGTTTTCAGAATAATAAGAAAAGCGAGGAACTGGGTCATTTAGATGCAAATAGGAGGGAGAAGAATATATGTATAAATTTGGTTATGCTTTAGAACTGAAGAACTAGTTCGCTGCGACAAAGATAGAAAGTTAGATTGAATGATAACTTTCCTTTACAAATCATCCGATACGATATACAAGCTACTTAGATCTAACACCTGGGAGTTAAACGTTGGATAGAATCGAAACTTTCCCTTACGATTCATCTGATTACCGATGCATAAGTTTTTTAGATCTTAATCCAGGTGTTAGGGTAGTGTTAGCAATATGTTAGAATTCTCAGCAACGGTATATGAAAGCACATTGCAAATTATTTTGTGTAAAAGGAAGTGACAAGGGTAAGATGAAGAAGCATTCAAGTGTAAACAATAAAGCTTTGAAAACCGTCCACAGACACACACACAGACACACATACACACACGCGCAGACACACCCACACACGCACACATACAATTGAGAGACTCGCAGAGCGGAAACGAGTACCAAAAAATTACAATATACAAACATAAAAGCAGGCCCTGTCCTAACCCTATCCCCTCGACACACATACACGCACACGTCCTTTAACAATGTCAACACACAGATCCACACACACACACACACACACACACACACACACACACAAATACGGCACACACATACTTTGGCAACTTTTTGTCAACTTCTTGCGAGAATGCATATTATTTGAGAGACCCCGAAAAAAAAAATGGAAATAAAAAATAACAATACCCAAGAAAAACTTAAAAGTGGCTTATGGTCAAGCAGCAGGGGAGCTGTTCAAGTGCAAGTGCAAGTGCCTTAAGGAACCCTTCTCTGCGCTTCTCACAGAGCTACCAGAGCTGCCAACTACTCAGATTGAGGCTGGCATTTCATAAGCGCTCCGGCAACGGCAAGCAAACTGCCAAAAAAAAAAAAACAAAACACAAAAAAAAAAATTAACTAAACTAAACGAGTATCCAAACAATACTCAGTAACGCTACAGTGTGCGCTCGATACAGGCAACAGCTGCAAACAGAATAAGTCAGCCTTTAAGAAACGTACCAAAAGCACACACACGCACGCATTCATATCAGGCGAGATGTATAGAGTATTCAGCCTTTGTTTGTTTGATTTGTAGTGCCTCCCCCCTCTCCATCCAACGCCAAAAGAAATAAAACCATATCAACACTGGGCCCAGGCTGCACTGTAGCGTTTATATAACTCTGCTGTAAATACACTCAAAGAAACACACGCGACCCTTCGACACAGCAAATTAGCTAAATAAATAATTGGGTATTTTGTACGCATCGGATAACTCCTAAAATAAATATAAATTAATTAATTAATTTAGAAGAAAATTACAAAACCAAATATATGTGTATATATATATTTATATATATATACAAATATATAAATATATACGCAAAACAGAAATGTCATTTAATGTAAATTATACTTATTATATTGTATTGTATAGTATCTAGTCATACCAAAACACACTGTATCTATAAAATAGAACTAAAAATCAACCTCCAGACATTTTAAGGCAAAACACCAAAAACAAAAAAAAAAAACAAAAATAATACTGAAAAACAATTTTTATTATTTCTAAAAGAAAAGAATTCGCTTATTTAATTTAAGTTTTATGATTTAGCGTGAGGCATTATAGCATAAGGAAACAAGCAGATAAAGTAAAGTGTGTAAAATAAGGTTGTTTTTTTTTTTATAGCATTAATCTAGGCAATTGAATGGATATATGTGTATATATATATAAATATATATTTATATATATATATATATTTATATATGTATATGTATATATATTGAGGAGCTAGCATACCTAATGTAAAAAGAAACATACAGAGAAGAAGCAGCATATACACAGAGTTCAGGTTTAGCTTATGATTTTCAAAACGGATTAAGAGCAGAGTTTTCAAGAAGAAGCAGCGCACGGACAGCCAATAGAATTGCAAATTAAACTAGCTAAGGCAAATAGCTGATCAACAATAAATCGTAAACAGAAAACAAAAAATTTGGAATAAATGTGTTCAGCAAAAAAATAAAATAAAAACAAAACAAAAAAAAAAATGTTATTATATGTTTAAATAAATTAAAAATTGAATATGAAATGGAAAAAAATTTAATTGAATTAAATTTACATATGTATATTTATAAAAATACCTAACAACAAATGTAAATACATCTAACGCAAGCCCTCAAGCAAATTTATATATGTATATACATATATATGTATATATATATATATATATATATATATATATATATATATATATCAATAATGTGTAACTCAACAACAACAAAGTAAATAGCTCAGTTAAGCAAATAAACCACACAGAAAACTACTCATAACAAAAAAAAAAAACAAGAATGAATAGAGAAGTTGAAAAATAGCAGAGAAAAACTTCCCCCCCAAAAAAAAAAGAACAAAAACAAAAAGCTGATCATTCAAATTAAAGAAACGCTATGAAAATATGCGGAAAAGAACAAAAAACAAACAAAAATATACGCAATGAAAATGAATCGTTTTGTATTTTATTTAACTGTACAACAGTTGCAATCCGACCGTGTAAATATGTAATTGTAATTATATTTGTAATTGGTTTTTGTATGTGTGCAAAGAACCTTTCTACGTATTCTTAGTCAGTTTCAATTCATGTACAATTTGTTGTAGTCTAACTTATTCCTTAGTTAATACTTAAACAAAGTCAACTGCGCTCAAACCGAAACACACTCACACACACACACACACACACACAGTCCACACTTACAGCACACACAACAGACTTTTGTAAATACAAGTTGAACGTAACGTAACTCTCCTGAGCTCAAGCTTCTGCTCCTATACATACTTATGCATATGTACTTATGCATGTTACTTCAATGTGTTTATGATATCTTCGCATATCATAAAATGCATCTCCATACAGCTGTTAAATACTAACTATGTTATATATAACTAAAGATCGCTTAGTCTCGATACTAGCTAGTAACACCTACTTAGGCGCACATACTAGAGTCTGAAACAACAAGCAGCACTCGCAGGCGCTTTTCTTGACCCTACGCAATTCGTGATAAACTTCGGTATTTATTGTCCGATCTGCAATGTGATTTGCAGTTTAATATATCTGTATATACTCTATTTGATAAACATATCACGCACTGATGATGTTCGAGCTTCATTTAAAAATGAGTCGATATACATAAAAATGGCATATATGACAAAGAACTGAAAACTCATTGTGCTAGTGCTATTAATATGGGAGGTATATAAACACACCTGAAAAATATGGCTAGACGGACTCACTTTGTCCAGAGCATGTACATTTTATAGGTCGAAAATGCTACCTGCTTTAACATACACTTGCAGGAAGACAAAATGCCCTATTTAGCCATTTCGAATGGATTTCGGGTATGAAGAATACTTGAAACTCATTTATTATTCGCCAGAGCGAGAGCTTTGAGGCTGCGACTTACCCACTTATTGGGACAGGTTCTGAGGTTCAAGCTCTCAATTTGTCTTGCTTTGATATATTTAAATGATTTGCCGCGAATCTGTTAAGTGACAGACTCTAGTTAGCCATATGTAGAGTGCTAGAGTGGGGCACTGTAGAAGCCAACACAGACACACACACACACTCAGCGAACTAGATACAATTAGAGCTAAAAAGCATTTCATTGGTTTTTCGAACTAGTATTTTATTTAGTAATGAGAACTTGGTATGCTTACGTGTACTTGAGGTACTTAACTGGCTGCATTTAAAAAGCTATTCGAGACACGACTATAAAAGTAAATATAATAAAAAAAAACTTCAGATCCAAAACCCCAAAGAGGCAGTTAGGGATTGAAAAATAACAACAACAAAACAATAATAACACAAATAAATAAGAAGCAAACATATCGTTGTTATTCAACTTAAACAAAACAAAACAAAAGAAAACACACACAAACCAAATGAAAAACGAAACCAAACAAAAGCGTTCACAAATAAATTCAAACACAAAGCATAAAAACTATACTTAATGCATAATTAACTCCAATACAAAAACAAAAAACAAAAAAAAAAAGAACATAAAAGTTGATAACAAAGCAAAACTAAGTAAAATGCGACACACTCTATTTTTATCCTCGATTTAAACATAAAACAATCTTTTCAAGTTTTCCATTAAATTTAATTACTTATTTATCAAAAACAAAAAAGAAAACAAAAAAACCAAAAAACGAAAAAAAAAAAACAAAAAGCAACCCATTTAACGTAAAAATTTATTGTACAACAATATACATATACAAAAATACTTATATACCTACTTACATGCATATTTACTAAAATACTAAGATACTAAATCAAAAACAAGCTAAACAACCAACTAATAACAACAACAACAGCAACACCAACAACAACAAAGCACAACTCTCAATCTTCTCAATGCTTCAAGAAAGACAAACTGCTCTCAAACAAAAACCAAAAACCAAAAAAAAAAAAAAACAAAAAGTAAGAAAAAGAGCATTAAAAGAAACGAAACTTAACAAATTTCTATTAAGGACAAAGACTGCAAATAGAGATTTAAATAAATATTTTAATAAATACTAAAATAAAAAGAAAGCTAACAAAATATATAAATTAATAAATTACATATATAATTAATGCAAATGTTGGCGCTTATATTTTTCCAATTGCCTGAGTTCGTTGATTTCAAGCCACAAAACGCTTTTGCCAGAAACATGTTTTACTTTGTACATTTGTTTTTGTCACACATCCATATGAATGTATATACACACACATATGTATATTCGTATGGTGTGCATTGGTAAACATACAATTAGTTTAGTTTAGTTTAGTTTAGTTTGCCGCGCAACAAGACAGAAAAAAAGCAACAACAATAACAACAAAAATATCAGCATTAAGCTTCAGCCAGTAATACTTTAAAAAGCATATACCAAATAACTGCAAAAAATATATTTGCATATAAATTAATATAAAAAAAAAAAAAATAATTTTTTTTTTTCTGTAAAACATTTTCATACATTTTGCCAAGCATAACCAGATCCAAAAGGAACAATAGCTTAAAACTAAAAACCATAAAAGAAAAATTGAATGATTAATATTGAGCATAGAACTAGAACCAGATACAAATGCAGCAAACAGAAAAGAATAAAAAAAAAATACCAACAAAAATACGACAAAAATGTAGTATTACGCATAATAAGATATTGTGACTACAATTAAAAAGAATCGCAAGCATAAAACACTTAAACACAGATAAAAACAAGAAAAAAAAAGCAAAAAAAAACCAAAAAGAAATGTTGTTAAGATTAAAAATGAAATGTTTTATAATCGTTATTCAATAAAAGTAAATTAAAAAAATAAAAAAAAAAACCAAAAACAACAATTACAAACGAACCAATTACGATATAAAGAAAAATACATATATATATAAAAACAAAGAAATGAAAAAAGAAAAGAAAATTAGCTAAAATAGTAGCAAAGCGCCCAAGCAAAGATCATTTCAATTTGTTATTTAGTTAAACGCTAAGTTTTATTTTATTTATTTTTCCTGCTATAACTACTTATTTAAGTATTTACGCGTAGTTATTGTTAGTAGTTTTATACATCTACCCCGGTATTTCCACTTGGTATATATACCCTCTGAATGCATGGGCCATGACGATTAGTTAGAGTTGGGTACTCTATGCAAGTATGGGTTAGTCAAGGCCTGAGAGCAGAGCTGTGCTTGAGAGCTTTCCTGTGAGCTCACCAGACGGGCGTGAGCGCAGCTCTGCCTTAGTTGTTGGCAATAAGCTTCTAAGGTTGATACTCTAGTACTGTAAGTCGATAATATATATATATGTATATATGTAGAGCATTGACAATCAAAGCCATCAATCTATCAATCAGCCAGTCAATCATGCCAAGTGAATTGCCCTGTCCAAAAATAAACGCCTATTGTACAACTCCTACTACATGTCATCCACTAGCAACTAGTATCGTTCATAGTCTAGAGCAGTTCAGTCGCATTGTTTCAAATAGTGACCAACTCTAGTGTTGACTAACAGAAGAAAAAATTATATACAAAATCCCCAATACCCTGAAAATAAAAAAAAAAACCCGCCCCCATCGATGCGACACATGCTGCAATTACTGAATGTTGAGCTAAGATGCCAGCCCCCTCCACAAATGGTGAGTGTGCCCAGATGGTCGTTGTGTAAAGAATCAAAAAAAAAAAAAAAATAATAATAATAATAATAATAATGAAAAGTGTGCCCAGACGGCCGCCAGCTGGTGTCTTGTGCCCGTTTATCGTCGTTATCGTTATCGTAATTGTTATCGTATTCGTATACTTTAATTGGCTTTTGGTTCTTATCATACGCAATGCACTGTGGAAACGCGCACCCAACTTTAATTTGTTCATCATGATATATCCATATCTATATATATATATATATGTATATATGCAAATGTATGACATATGTGTGCATACATATGCATATACATTAAGTATATAAGTATGTATGATAACATCTTTTTTGATGCGCTGTGCTTTTGTTAAACGCTAACTTGGCCAGCTACTAATTTTTTTAACTTAATCTACCCAACCATATATATATATATATATATATATATATATATATATATATATATATATACGCTATATATAAATATATAAAGCTATTCTACTAAATATATACAAATATATTCCTTATGCTACTTACTTTTCGTTACATTTTTTTTTCTTCGACTATTTTAATTTCCATTTTGTGTTCTTTTTTTGTGGTTCTCTTAACGTATAAATGTAAGAAACGCTTTAGCGCTGCCTGCACCCGCCGACATCAAAATCCTGCTACAGCTACAACAACAGCAACAGTAACAGTAACAGTTCAAGTAACAGTAACAGTAACAACAACAACAACAACAGTAACAGCAAGAGCTAACTGCATTAAGCGCAATAACAACAGCAGCAGCTGCAACAAGAACAACTACAACAACAACAACAATAACAACAACAACAGCTTGAAATATATATATATCTAAATATATATATATAGTACATATATATGAAAAACGAATGAAAACTGAAAGAAAAGCGCCTGCTCTGGCTTATCAATGGCTATGGCTGAGGCTTTCGCCGGCTCCTGCTTCTGCTCCTAAGTCCCGTTTCCCTGTGCTTCCCGATTCCGGTGCATGTGCGTTAAATTGCTATAATCGAATAATTAGAATCGAGCAATCGATTGATCACAATAACAAAAACAAAACGAGCAAATCAATGCAAAATGCAAAAGAACAAAAAAAAAAAAGAAAAAAAAAAGAAAAACAATATGAAAGCAAAGAAGTTGAAATGAAAAACTGATAAGAAAACAACAAACCGCTCGCTAAAGTAAAGACAACAGCTCCAGCTACAACAACAACACTTGGCGCACGCTTAGCACATTTGCATCTAATACTAACTATCAGCTACACACACACACACACACAGACACACATACAGTTACACACACAGACAAGAGCTACACTTTAAGTTTCCGTTGCCTAACTCCATTTGTTACACTCAAGTCTAACGCTTTGATTTCTGTCATGATTTTCTTACGCTTACTTTTAACAAATACTCTACTCTACTCTACTCTACTCGAATGAGCATTATCCAAATACTTGCCTAACTACTTGAAATCGCTTACCTATATTTAACTAAATATATATATATTTATAGTTATATATACTTACTTAAAGCTGCTGCTACAATCACCGAATAAAAAGATATCACCAAATCCCCGTAAATACAAAAAAACCCCTTCACAAGTTCACAAGTTTGTTTTCCCTCTTAACCAACACACGGCGAACAACAAGAGCGTCAACGGCGCTGTTAAAGGCAACAGCGCAGCACTGTTAACGGCAACAGCGCCGTTAACATTGTGCTGCTGCCTGTTCATATTATTTGGCACAAATCGAGCACCTACAATTTTTGTTGAAAGCACACAAAAACACACACAGAGATTAAACAAACAAACAAACAAACAATCAGTCATACAGTCAGTCAGTCAGTCAGTCAGTCAATCAATCATACATCAACACACACACAGTCTAACTAACTCTATTCTCTATCTGTCTCTCTCATGCCAATTACTAACTCTCTTTTTCTTCAACGTGCGTCGCAATCCCTGCCGAAGACGCACACACACACATACACACACACTGGACTGGCGCTGGATTGATAAGTGCTCGCATTTGATGTAGTACTGATTGATCGCAGGCGCTGCAAAACGAAACTGATCGGATCTGATCTGATCTATCGGTTTCGATTTGCTTTGGTTTCACTCTCTCTCTCTCTCTCTCTCTCTCTCAATATATATATATTCATTTTTATGTCAAGTTTAACAGCGACGACGCCAAACGCCGGCACATTTTGTTTATTACCATTTTGGCAATACGCTTTCGGTTTTTTGTTAGCCAAATCTCTCTATATCTCTCTCTATCCAGTCAACTTTTTTTGAGTTCCATCGTGCAAGCGGTACAAACCAAGCGCAATTTAAATTAACAACAGCAATTTGCTTTCGATGTGTACATACCAATATATACAATAATCTATAATCAAACAAAATACACACACACACACCAACATACACACACACACACACACACACACACACACACACTTAAAATTATTACTTATATGAATACCTCGAGTTGAAAATACACAGATTTTGTTTTTGGCTTTCTTTCTATGTTTCCGTGTACTAATTTCTTAAATCTACGCCATTTTGTTTCTAACAGTTGTTCTATTTCTTCTGTTTTGTTTTGTTTCTTGTTTTTTATTGAGTGATAACATTTTAATAATGATATATCGAATATTACAAACCTTTAATGCTTACAATTTATAACTTATTTCAATATATATATATATATACATTTTTTTTTTATTTATTTTCTTTTATATATATATATATATATATATCTATATATAAATATACAACCTTATTTACACACTGCGTTCTTTTTCTACGTTCTTCTTCATACCAAATCGACAACAACAAAAAAAAATAACATAAAAAATAAATATATAAATAAAATAATATATTAATATAAAATATATATAAAAATCAATATAAATATATATATAAATAACTGACGAAATATATATATTTATATATGCCAAAATCGAATCGAAAACAAATTTGCATATTTAAATCCATGCTTTAAATATACAAAATACCAACAACGAAAAAATACTGCAAATTAATACGAAAAAAAATCGAATACCTGAATATTGCCATATGAAAAAATGAATACTGAAAAAAAAAAAACGAAAAAAATAATACCACACAATACAAAACTAAATGCAAATGAAAATGCAAATGCAAATATTAATGCAAAATGCAAAATGCTAAATGCAAAATAGGCCCGTCGGCTTCTGGGGCAAAATTGTCGGCTCTTTGTGCGTGATCGCTGGTGTGCTGACAATCGCACTGCCGGTACCGGTTATCGTCAGTAATTTCAATTACTTCTATCACCGCGAAACGGATCAGGAGGAGATGCAGAGCCAAAATTTCAACCACGTTACAAGTTGTTCATATTTACCTGGTGCACTAGGTACATATATATATAACTAATCATATCCAAAATGTTTAAAAAAAAAAATCGAAAAAAAAAACCACGCTCATTTGTGAAATACGAAATGCGAAAGCAATGCTAATCGATTCCTTTTCTATATCATCCCCCCAAAAATAAAATAAAAAAATAAAAAAAAAAAAACGTCCCAACGTAAACCCCGAAACACAACACACACACACACACACACGCATACAAATGCCCAAACCGAAACTAGGTCAACATTTGAAAAAATCCTCACTCTCCGAATCGTCATCGGACATTATGGATTTGGATGATGGCATTGATGCAACCACACCAGGTCTGACTGATCATACGGGCCGCCACATGGTGCCATTTCTGAGAACGCAGCAATCGTTTGAGAAGCAACAGCTGCAGCTCCAACTACAGCAGCAACAGCAGCAGGGACTTCAGCAGGGACAGCTGCAGCAGCAGCAACTCGGCCAGAACGGCCTAAGGAGCACAAATAGCCTACAGCTAAGGCATAATAACGCAATGGCCGTCAGTATTGAAACCGACGTCTGACTACTAGGTGAGTATCCAAATCGAAATACCACACATAAAGACAATTGACTTCCAATTGTCGGCATACTATTGGTAAAGCAGATCTTGGTAGTTTACTTGACCAAGCAGGTTGCGGGTTCGAAGCACATTTTCTTGGCCAAGGGCTCAGTAAGCATAGTACAGCTCATCATTCATTTAAAGTTTAAACTTAAAAAAAAAAAAAAAAAAAAAAAAATATGTTTCCAAGCAAAAACTCGCTTGCACCGACTCTACTCAGAAATATATACAACACAGCTCACCGGTTCTGTAAAGTGCATGGTCAATTTCTTGCAAAACAGAAAAGTTTCACCAGCACGTATTCAAACTCCGATCGATTGTTGATGATATAGTAGTTCAATCCGGCTGATTCCGACATATTTACTAAAAGATGGAGCTATAGGGAGTGCAAAAGGAAGTCGAAATTTATACTACCTATATCGGACTTACGCAAAATTTCACCCTTAACTGTGCTTAATCGTTGGAAATCGAATCCTTGAAGTTATTGGCTTTTACAACAGATCTGCTTAAAATTACATTTAATCATTTTTGGATAAATCATTGGTTTCACACTTGTCGCAAAATCGCTTAAATGAAAAATGCAAGAAGCTGTATGAAAGTTAATTTCACGCTTTTCGGAAAATCCACCTCTTCAAGTGAAAAACTGGCTCAAGAATTGCTTGCGACAAGCTTCGTGCCTCACACCTGCTTACAAGGCTTAAAATAAGGATTCATAAATTTCAACGCTTTAGACTATTCCACCCGCAACTGTGGAATATTCGCGGAAAATGTGCTGCATAAAACTTTCTTGTTTATTTATAGCGTGACGCGCTCAACACTTGGATTAAATTCCCCTATACAAGCGTCACAAGTTCGGCTAATGTGATTGTTTTTTCTAACTGAAATCAATTCATAAATTGTAATTTATTATGTTTTTTATGCTGTTCGCAGTCAAACAGATGGAATACAGACGAAACTTGCGCAGTGAAATGTTACGTTGGATGCCAGAAACGTCATCAAAAGCAGTCTAATCTAGAATTTTATTAATAATAAATAAACATTAAAGTAATAATAATAATAATTATAATAATAATTATAGTAAGCAGCGTAGTTGTAAATTAAACAGCAAATGTAAAACAAACTACACACACACACAGACACACACACACAGACACACACACACAGACAGACAGACACACACACAAAGTAGCTTGATAAAGTAGCTAAATGTCGAAGCGATAGTTTTTTTTTAATACTCAAATACGGCGGCAACAATTTACATAGCTGCTCAATGGAGACCATGACACACACACACACACACACAACACAACACACACACACACAGAGAGAGAGAAGTAAACAAATTGAAGAAAAAACAAAACTCAACTTAATACCTATGTTCAAATTTAGCAATTAACAACTAACCATCGTTATAGTCAAGAAACAACACGATGAAGAATGAGAATGAGAACAAAAACAAAAACAAAAATGAGAATTATCTTAGTAGTCGAATCTAATTGGAGTTTCTTCCTTTCTTTAGAAGCTAGCTACAACAAAAACGAAAAACAAAAAAAAAACAAAAAATAAAATAAAAAAAAAATTGAAACTAAAACCAAAAACAAAAAACAGACAAGAAAGCAACAATACATACAAACATACAATATCTGCTAATTTTATTTTCAACTTTAAATTATGCTCTATGAATAAATATTAGTCAAATATTAGTAAACAAAAAAGAAGATATATACATATAAATATATAAAAACACAAAAAAGAAATTACATGAAATGAAAACTAAGGCAATGCAAATTATAAATATTAATAAATAACACACGAGTAGCGATTGCAGTTGACCATGTCCTCATCAAAATATCATCGAAATAGTTAGCAAAAAAAAAAAAAACGAATGCCTAGAATTTTGTTTGTCTCACTTTGCAACTCACTTTCTAGTTTTCTTCCGAACCCATTGCACACAGAGTTTGTTTTCTTTGGCAAACCTATGCAGCTGGCCAAACGTTTAAGGACAACGCACAAAGCAGAAACGCAAAAGTGAATTGGCACGCGCAAGCGAGCTACGAAGCAAATTCAAACTGTTAAATATCATGTCCGTAAATGTTTTCAATTATATATATTGAAATTAATTAGTGCCCGATTGGCAATTAATATTGATTCCTTAAGGAGATGAGGGCGAGTCCAAACTAATTCGTACTCACACACACACACACGCACACACACACACACACAAACACACACACAAACCCACAGACACACACACACACACAGAGAAACACATATGTTATAAAAATGCTAAAACATCAAAACTGCCGTTAATTTAAAAATATTGAGTATAAAAAACACAAAGAATTATACATATATATACATGTATGTATGAAATGATATATGCATATATGTATGTATATATATATTTATATACATAAATAAATTTACATAACCGAACTAAGCTGCTATTTTGTAAATAAGTAAGTCGGAGTTGAAGCTGAACATATAGACGTAGATAAAACCCAAATAAAAAACCCCCCCAAAAAAAAATAAATAAAACAAGTAAAAAGATTTACAAAAGAAAAAAAGCTGCTAACGATACAAAAACAATAATTAAACTTAGCAAACTGCTACACGACAAGAG